GCTGCACCCGGATTTTTGTAGATTTATTTTTTCACGCGTGTAACTTTCCGTTGTAAGGGAGCACTAGATGGTGCGTGTACTCCCGGGCTTTCATGTCCTGCTTTTTTTTTTGCCCTATGTACTATTCCAACTAGTGTCAATGCTGGTTAGTAGACATTTATCGTCATTACATATATGGTGTGAGCAGCACGCACACTGTTCTTTCATGGTCTTATTTTATTAAATGCCGACTATACTTTCTACAGTACTCTTTAAAAATTGGAACCTCAAATTATACTCGTCGACAATGCCAATGAACGTTTACGAATGCATCTGATAATCTAAGACTGCTGGTGTGCTTCATTGGCAACCAAGTTGTCTCTTCTTCTTGTTTGTTTTTTTTGCCATAGAGCACTGGTGTCGAGGAAAACAAAAGGGTGACGTTTCTGAGCTGCTCAACAGATCCCACAGTGGAACAACCAACAGAACTAGTCAAGAGGCCCTCACAGCTAAACACAGAAGTTCGTGATTGAATTATGCAGCAATATGTCGCACCTTGCCAAATTCACAATGTCTAAGAAGTCCTGGATCAGCACAAGTGCAAAGGTAAAGAAGCGTGAGGTCCGTGCACTCATCGCGGCGCCTGCTCCGGCGTACCAACTTTTCCCGTGAGCGCTTGCGCGCCCGTTGGTGCCGCTGGTGTGCTTGAAAATGGTCTATTTTGAGAAAATGTAGCAGGTTGTAGCAGCCTGTGCACTTGGGCACAGTCTAGCGTAGTGGTAGCATCACTGATACAGTCAGACCTCATTAATTAAATCTATGATGGGATAGAAAATCTGTATGAATTAATTGCTTGATATGTGGGGTTTAACGTCCCGAAACCACCATATGATTATGAGAGACGCCGTAGTGGAGGGCTCCGGAAATTTCGACCACCTGGAGTTCTTTAACGTGCACCCAAATCTGAGCACACGGGCCTACAACATTTCCGCCTCCATCGGAAATGCAGCCGCCGCAGCCGGGATATGAACCCGCGACCTGCGGGTCAGCAGCCGAGTACCTTAGCCACTAGACCACCGCGGCGGGGTATCTGTATGAATTAACCAGGGCTTGAACTAGCAGATGTCCATTCTGTCTATACTCCAAAATACCCCTGTAGTGTTCTAGAAAGCAGTGCATAAAGAAAAAAAGAACCTCACAGGGTACCTCATGCATACGCCTAAGACGACTAAAAGGCGAGAGCCATTTTCATTTTATTGTGATAGCAATCACAAGGACATTCTCGACGGGTCTTTGCCATGGCCAGGGGTGTAGGTAATTTAAAAAAAATTTTTTTTGGGGGGGGGGGGGGGGAGAGTGCAGCTTGGTCTGAGGGGGGGGCATGCTAATGATAATATGGAGCTATATATATATATATATGTATACACACACACACACACACACACACACACACACACACACACACCATAACAAAAATATTTTGGGAGAGAGAGCACATTCCCGATGTGCCCCCCCAACCCACCTGGCTATGCCACTGGCCGCTGTCATGTTTTGCGTAATATCCCAATTGATAACATCCCCCCATGCATAGTGTGTTTTACAAGCGGGCAAAAGCGTGCGAGCAGGGGTGGCGAGCGCAGCTAAAGCAGAGATAAAAAATGTCACCGTTTCACCGCAAGGGTGAAGCAATGAATACGATAGCAACAACTTGGAACGTCACACTGAGAACGGCAAGCAGATAAAAATGTGAAACGCACTGCTCATGCACAAATGACGTATGAAAACAACATACACAGGACGAGAGCGAATGAACGTTTTATCGCTCGATACTTAACGTGCTGCCTAAACAAAAACGAGGCACGAAACCTCATCACAGATACAAATATGATTGCCAACTAACAAGTGCCCCAGTTGTTTGCTGTATTTGAAAAGCGCACTCCTAATTTTCGCAAACGGCGTCTGTCCAACAAGCAAAGTTCTGGTAAAAGTCGAAGTCGCGAGATTCTTCGCACCGAAGGATAAGCGTGCGCGCACAAGCAACTATCCCCCCCCCCCCCCCACACACACACAAGTTCACGGGGCAAAGTACGCGTGTGAGATAATAAGTTCGTTAGCCTAGAATTACCACATTTATTCGAATTTAGGCTGATAGTTTATTCCAAATTTCTTCACATCATAATCCAGGGTCGGCTTAGACCTATCTAACACAGCAAATCTAATGTCGTTTAGAGCGAATGTCATTTGTTTGGTGTCGTACGGGGAAACTAATGTCGTTTGATAAGAATGACATTTTCAGTCGACTGAGTTCCCGAAACACATACGCATTCGATTTCAAACCGAATGAGTATTCTCGGAGCCAGAGACTTTTAGAAAGATGGCTGTGTACTTACGTATACAGTAGCCTTGTGATAATTCAAACTCTGATAATTCATACTTTTGGTTAACTAAAAAAAATATCAATTTTTTGGTTGGTCCTCCATTCTTTCAATGTATTTAAAAGCCTCTTAATCAAGCTCCATCATTCGGTTGATTCATACTTTTTGCTGTTTCATACCAGAAAATATCTGCTGCTTTCCCACCACTATTTAAAACCTTGCGTGCTTATATAATTCTAACAGCCTAAAAATAAAAAAAATAAGTGCTTTAGGTGTTCAAGGAAAAAGGCTTTGCTAGTAAAAAACAAATGGTTGAAACGCACGCATGGTAAACCGTGATGCTGCTAGACTGGTATAGAGAGCTTTGTGCTGAAGGCACATATAGCAAAGAAGCAGTTGGCAATTGATTTTTTCAAAAGGTCTGATCAGCAGTAAATGGACGATAAACTTGCGGCTCTTACACCTTCACAATCAGTTCACTGCGTACAGTTAGGGATTAAAAACGGGTTAAAAATTTTAATTCTGATAAAATTAATACCCAATCATGATGTATGATGTCACCTCACCCTCAGTCATTTATCTAAAAACTTCTGATAATTCAAACTTTTTGATAATTAAACAAAATTCCAAGGTCCTTTTCAGTTTGAATTAACGAGAGTCTACAGTACGTAACTTTTATAATTTGTAAATATCTTATTCTTTACTAGATCAGCTTATTACCAGTTTGATAACAAGATACTACATGCGAAAGTTTCTAAACTAAAAAGATACTCTCAACTACAGAGGCTGGACCCTGGCCATGTTTCATTTGTGCTCTGTTGTTGTCTGTATCACTGATATTGATTGTCCGATTGCGTGTGTTGGGGTGACCAACGTGGTGACTGCACGAAATTGCTGCCACCGCTTCATTTCTGCAGCCAGGAAGTCAGTCGTGCGCCCCGCTTCAGTTCACTGTACTCACGCCCGGCCAGATTGGTTTTTGAGTGTGCCATGCAGCTGTGGCAATTTGTCTGAAACGGCCATATTTATATTTTAGGAGCACCTTTTTACCCATAAAAACTATTTTAGTGGATACAGGCATGTTACATGAGTTTTTATATATTTTTATTTCTCCCAAAGCCACGACCCAGGACGGCTAAGGTCATCGTCACCCTTCCAAAATGACGTTTGTTTTCGTCGTGTGACTGCATGCAGGTAAAATGACACTAGGTCCACTTAATATCGTTAGTTACAAATACAAATAATATTAAATTTGCCATGTGACAGGGGTATTAGATTAGAAGATTTTTAAAAAGCGCACTATTTTTCACTGAAAAAAAAAAAAAAGAAACTGGTACCCAACTACCGTCACCTAGACGGTAAGTAGCCATTAGTAGTTGAGCCAACAGCTGGCCAAAGTATAGTGTACTTGACTATTCTAGTACACTATAGCCAAAGTACACACGTGAAGCCACTATTTTGATCTTCGTGGCGAGCGTTTTTAAGTTGCACTTTGAGTAATCTGCATGTGGCATAGCTCAATGGTGCCAAACAGGCGTTGTCATTATAGTGCCTCTTATAAAAGGAAAGTTGTCCTAGCCGCAGAGTCATCGTTCCAAGCCGGGCAGGACTTAGGAGTAGAGGTAAAAAATGTGCGTCGCTGGAGGGGACTGCACCGTGGGGCCACAACCCGGGAATTTCGATTGCGCGCTCTTTCAAGAAGTGCGGAATATCCAATGCATTTGATGGCACCGAGGATTGAGTACTGTTTGAAGTCAGCCACAATGACTCACATTGAGCGCGGCATCGGGCTAGAAGCAGCGAGAGGAAAACGACAAATAAACGCAACACGACTGGCGGCTATATGTTCTTAGAGTTATTTGCGTCATGAACCAACTGCATTTATTTCATAATCATGTTTAATAAATGATTTCTCTTTGCGAACGCTGTTTTCGCTGTTTCGACCGGCCTACATCATTCGAGGCAAGCTTTTTGTTTACCTCGAATGATCCAAGCAGAAATGTAGAATCCTAGAATGCCTTGGTATGAAGCCACGTCAAAAAACAACGTAAAGTCATCGGCTTCGCTCTGACCACCCCCAAGTCCCAAAGAATTTCAGCCGATGGCTAAGAGGATGAACAGGGGCAGAGTCCAAAGCCTTCTTTCCAGTCATTCTCGACGGGTGCAAATAAACACCAATCTTCTCTCTCACTGCTATATTTGAGTCTGGGCAAGTCCAAGTGAGTCGACTCATGAGAGAGTTCCCCGACCTATGCTTCTAACAGGATGTTTTTCATTGGACGCAAAGAGCAAGTACATAGCTCGGGGTTTGTGAAGCTGTGGCAGCTAGTGACGCATGAAACTTTGGCATTCGGCTTGGGACTGCATGAAAGTTGTCTGTGCAGACTGGCATTGTCATTCTAACTAACCATTGTGATTCAAGTGTTTCATTTTGGTGGGACTAATGGGCCAGTCCAAATAATTCATGGTTCTAACCATTGTGATTCAAGTGTTTCACTTTGGTGGGACTAATGGGCCAGTCCAAATAATTCACTGGTTCGAATTATGCAAGTACAGAACTTCCACGGTACTGATAAACAAGTATTCAGGTGACAAACACTGCCCCACTAAATTGTTCATCCCTGCAAAAATATCCAATAAACTTACCTCATCCATGAATGATCGCATACGGTCAGCAAGGACGGAAAAGCGAAAACCAAAGTTGTACTTGGACAATTCAGGCACGTCGTAGTGGATCAAAACAGCAGCATCACGAATGCTGGCCAATGACAGCACATTGTCTTGAGCCACAAGGACAGGCAACACAGTCCTTGGACGCACACTGTTCCATTCATCTGTGATTTCTGCCCAATAGAGAAAAAACATTACACATGGATCTGCACAATAGAGAAAAAAACATTAAACATTGATCTGCACAATAGAGAAAAAAACATTACACATGGATTCATGCACATGCCCACACACGTGCAGAGAGAGAGAGCTGGTAATACCTTCGGATGCAATCCGGTATATTCATTCACAACTAATAATTGTGCACTCTAAGTGCATTTACTTACTTCCCGAGATTATTATCAACTTGATACCAGCGCTAGCTTTAAATGCAAATAATAAAAAAACATAACAATAAAAGTTTTAAACGTAAACACACTTTTTCTTCCATTTCACGAACTGATATCTTTGGTTGCTGGTTAAATAGCTAAAAACACACAGCAGAAGTACAGGGGAAGACAGAGGCTTGAAGAGATGAACAATTAGTCTAGATTTCAACACATGAAATGCCATGAAAAAGACTAGATTTGCAACAGTTCCACTGAGTTTCACAAACCACTACCAACTACTTTTTGCACAGCAACACTAACTTCTATTCCTCCGCGAAAATCACGTAACATAAACTATGCATTTTCTTATGGACAATGAAAAAGGCCATGAAAACATTGATGTCATCCACACTGTAATTCACCAGAACCCCCGACATTCTCATTCAGGAATTTCTACAACCTAACTATTCAGGTGTTGAAGTAATTATATAGGAGCATAAAGTATAGAATTCAGTAATGAATTCAAACAGACACAACCCAAAACATTTTAATGACTGTCAGAATAGCCAAAGAAACGTGCTCCACAATTTACCACCACTAGATGTTATACACATTCTACCGCAGTTAAAGGGACATAAAAGTCAAATAACAATTTACGTCAGAGTGAAAGTTCAGTGTATGACATCAACTAAAACGACAATATTATCAACAGTGCCCTACTTACCAAGAAATTAAGGTAAATGCACAAGAACACATGCGCCGCAGTAGGACATTCTCAAAATGATACCGATGATGTCAGAGTTACAGCCTATAATTAACCACTAGTAATCGAACTAGCTGCACTAAATAAAGAACCTTCCATGCATCAAGAGACGCAATAAAATGCTGCTTGTTCGTTTCTGTTTGATTCATGAAAAAAAGAACCACCAGACGTTACTATTGGGAATGATTTGAATGGTTCAAGAATTCAACTTTCGTGTGGTTACACTGGACAGGTGATGCCATCTAGCGAGGCACAATTGAACCAAAAAAACGTCTGCAATTTTGCAGCCGATGGCAGCAAATTGATCAATGGCGGTTGTTGCTGCTGTGACTCCCGCTGCTTTCAGTTTGCTGCTACTAGCACAGTAAAGCCGGGCAACGTTGTGCACGGCAACAGTGACGTAAGTCGGTCGGGCCAGTCAGCTCCTTGAGGCGGGTAATTTGAAGTGCGGTAACATGATGCGAACCACTAAAACATGATTTTATTTCAAAATAGGCCCTTCTTTGGCAGAAAAGTAACACTACAAATTTACGGATCGCTATTTCAACAATCAGCATCGACTTATTAGTTGCCTTTAGTGTCTCCTTACATCTACCTGTATGGTGGACGTGGAAATAACACCAATATCAAAGGAACAAGCAATGCCAACAAATACATGTAATACCTTCATGCAGACACCTGCATATGCTAGCAAATAAACAGATACACAAACAGCATTGCATCAAACCTTACCACCTACAAAAAGGGTACAAGGAATTTACGATCTTAGATGTGTGGCGGGTACTATACTGCCCAACTTATAAACAAAACGCAACAGTAATTTAGAAAGCACCTCTTTGTAATTAATAGATATTTAAAAAGAGCATTGTAGACTTTGATAACTGACAAACTATAGAACCTTAAATAATCTGTGAAAGAAACTGTGAGACTTGTGAAATATGTAAAAACCACTCATGCTTCAAACTGTTCGCTCAATAATTTTATAAAGATAGCACGAAGATCCATTACCTCAGTCCAACATCCAGAACACAGTAGCAAAGGTAGTAAACATATCACAGAGCTTAAATCCAGTCAAAATACGGCAGGCCCTCTCAAACATGGCTTCACACACTGCCGCAAAAACCACAGTGAATGTGTGTGAGCCACAGAGAGGTATAACTGCACTTTAAAGACCATTGCAGGGATGCAGAAAACGTATGCATTGATGCTCTACGACTGCCAAGTACTGGGACACCAGACGCAGAATAATGCCAAGAGTAAGATCAATATATAAAACTAGTCTCGAGAAAAATTCTGAGCATGACTAGAAAAAGTCCCAAGCAGAAGAACATAACTAATAGAGAGTATCACATTCTGCAACAACTCATAGAGAAAGATAGAGAGAATATTTTTATAAAACCTGTAGGCCATTGGTACAGTGATCTGACATAAGAAGAAAATATAAAAACGAGCATATCAGACCGTAAAGCTCAGTAAACCCACACATTATAAAAATAACTAACCTCTGACCCAACTTATGTATAGAGTAGAATCTCAATGATACAAATCTCAAAGAGGAGCAAAAACATTTGTATCAGCCAGACTTTTGCAGAATGAAAAAACTAGCAAAATCAGTTTTGAAACTACAACATGCACACAAAAAATTTATATCTATAGAAAGAACTCTCATACGTCTTTCTGGGACATGTGAAACGGCACTGGCTGCTACAAATGCACAAGTCACGGCTTCATTTGAGGCCAACAGAAAATTAAGTGCCAAAGTCCACACTACCAGTCATAAGTGAATGACAGGGCTGTCAAAGAATTTTCATGTCTTTTTTACTTCACTGCCTTTGATCTACCACATTATAGACAAGCACACTAGCAGCTGCATAGTCCCTACAAAAAACTGTGTCAAAAGTGATAACAGTTTCGTGCACAGCGGTAGCGGCAAACACTAATTCCGTGTTCAATCCATGTGCACTGGCTGCGCACACACCTTTAGAACTACTTATGTTGTTTCTATATGTGATCACATCTACTGCGGTTTCATGTGCAGTGGTGGTGGCAAGCAGCATCACTCTGACTTGGTGAACATTGGATAAACATACACTTTTGCGAGTTCTGTCATGGCTATACATAATTGTGTCAACAGTGAGCGTGGTTTCGTCCACAGGAATTGAGGCAAGCAGTAGTTCTGTTTTCAATCTGGGTGCTCTAGCTGTGCGTGTACCTCCAGAGCTTCATAACCAGCTGCCATTGATTGATGCTTTTGGTACCCAAGATTTTATTGCCTAATTGCCATGCGGAAAAAAGCTCGAAACACCTATTTTTTTGCTCATTGTACACAATGGCTTAGGCTAGAGAGTTTTACGAATTCATATAAGATTGAAATTCATACAAGCTGAGTCCTTATCAAAGGTCTACTGCATAGAGGAACATACAACATACACTAACAAATTTTTTAGACAAGGAATTAATCATACATTCCAAGTACAGCTTCCTGATGACTAACATTAAACTAGCAGGTCGCTTCTACCAGGGTGTCAACCAATTTGATTTTTCTAAATTCCCCAACATTTCCAGGTTTTTAATGATGATTCTAAGAAAATTCAGTGACCGGTAAATTTGCATGGAAAAACTCTGCACACTGAAAACAAACCCTCGAGTGTAAAAAAAAAAAATGATGGAGCACTCGCATAAGCAGCAAACCGAACCAATTTATTACACTTAAAATAAATAGAGTAGTAATTGACAATGAATGCGCATCTAAAACATAAAAGCTGGTTCGTTTGCATCGGCAATGGTTTTACTGTCCGAAAAAACTCTTGCAGTTTTTCCTTCCTGCGATTCAAGCTCTTTCACAAGAACTATAGTTCTTTTTTTCAACATCTGATGAGCCGTACCACTCGTTTTTCTCTCCAGGTGTTCCTTCCGTTTGATGTTGGAACTTCAAACCATGTCTAGCATCTTGTCCATTACGTGAACAAGCAAACTGCTCTACAGTAAATTTCTATGTGAAAGACAAAGTGCCATCTCACAAACAGCATTTGTTTTTTGTCAGAACTTTGACAGAGTTCTACACCAGGGTCTTAGAAAATGCTCTCTTGTGTGGTCAAACTTTCACAAATGTATTGCAGTGCTTGTCAGGCACACTTTCACATATGATTGACCTTCCTGTAGTTTCGATGAATTTGTTGGGTGAGTTGGTGCATTTAACAAAAAGGAAAGCACAGCACAATCTGACAATCATAGACCAAACACACACACACACACATTAGCGTGGTGGGCGGGTCTTCCCAATGATGGGCCTTTTTTTGTGTGTGTGGCGGCACAGGGAAATTTGCCAGGCTGCAACAAAAGGTTGGGCCACATTATGGCCGCCGTACGAGGAGGCATCAGCTTCTTCAATTCCCTGGACTAATCATGGAGTCTATCATGTTCCCTTCGTTTATATAATATTTTATGGACACAGCACTCAGAAATGAATACCAATTTAACACACTATCTCAAGAAACTGTTGCGCGACATTAAACTGCAGTTACACTGTGCAAACCTTGAAACATGGGCTATCAGAGATGAATGTGTAGCTGAGGACATTAGCTGTTGCACTGCCACCGAATAAGCTTCATATGATCGGTGCGAGTAATTTGCGCTTGCGAATTGAGATACACTGTGTGATCCGTAGAAGCAACAGTAATACACTGCCTCTTTCTTACGCTTCTGCTCAGGTGTTCACGGTGGTTGCAGTAGAAGGAGCAACTTTGTAAGCTCTGATTAAAATTAGATTATTTTCATGATGGTTAAACACAGACTGCTGCCAGTTTCCATGACCTGGCCAGGCTGTTCAGAAATTCCATCACTATTCCCTGACTTTTCTAGTGATGAAAATGTGTCTGAACAGGGGTTGCATGCTCGGGCACCCCACCCCTGTTTACGATTTTTTTTTTTTTTGATCGCAAGCTTTCAACTTCCCCGTCCTGCCATTTTCAGACATTTCCAGGTATTCCACGTTTTCTAGGTAGGTTGACACCCTGCTTCTACCTTCTTCTGAAGGTTTATA